GGTTAAGTTACGTTTTGTGAGCAGATATGATCGTTCGGGAAAGATCGTCGATGATTTGTTGTTTATAAACAGTAACTCGGACTTTGCTTCTTTGGGACTGAATAGTTAACAGCACATCAGATAAAATGATGGTTTCCAGTGGGCTTACAGGTTCGATTCCTTCCGGAGAAGCATATATTTTCTACGAAATTTCTCCTACATTCAGACCGGTAATTTTAATTGATACTGTTTATTTAAAAAAAAAAAAGAAAGATTTACATAAATAAAATGTATCTCTTAAAAATAACCTATAAGCAGAAAATACATTAAATAATTGTTGGGCTTAATACATTTCATATTTGTTTGTGTGTGTGTGTGTTAATGGTCACATAATGCACTGAATAAATTAACTTGAAAGACTAAATCCAAATTACTACTTACCAATATTGCCCATATTAATAAAAATTGTTTCTAAACTAATAATCGCTCAAATTCTAATTCAGTTATGACAGAGGCAGATGTTAGTGGTAAAGTATTAAAAGTTAAAACTTGCTTCCTCACCAAATGAAAATTATTAAACAGTAACCGTTGTACAACAGTTATCTGGCAAAAATCAATTTAACTAAAAAGATCAATATGTCAATTCGGCTAAAACTAAAAATGTCAGTATATCAATCCCATAGGCCCGGTGGCTTAATAGATAGAAGCCCGGATTGAGGAATCAGGAAAGCCGCATTTGAAGTCCAGTCGAGTTCGTTATATTTAAAATGTTATGAATCTCTGTCTTCTCCACCCAGATTGGATAAATAGCAGGACAGACCGAGTCCTGTAGGTTTAGGTAGCCACCGGTCTATAAGAATGAAAACGCTGAATTGGTCTTGTGAGAAATGTAAGTGGAGAATCCCACCAACACAAAAACAACCGGTATGTGGACAAGCGGGATGAGTAGGACTACACCTCTGAATACAAAGTCAATCAGGGAAGGGGTTCCACCAACAAATGTAAGGTCTTGGATTTGGTCAATCTTATGAAAACTAAAATTGTCAATGTGTCAGTTTTATTTTAAACCAAAAAGATCAATATGACAATCCCATTAAAAGTAAAAAAATTCAATATGTCGAATCCATTAAAACCAAAAGGATCAATATCATAATCCCTTTAAAACCAAAAAGATCAATATGTCGAATCCATTAAAACCAAAACGATCAATATGACAATCCCATTAAAAATAAAAAATTCAATATGTCGAATCCATTAAAACCAAAAGGATCAATAAAATTCAAAAACCAAAAAAGATAATATGTCGAATCCATTAAAACCAAAAGGATCAATATGACCCCAAAAGGATCATTAAAACCAAAAGGATCAATATCATAATCCCTTTAAAACCAAAAAGATCAATATGTTGAATCCATTAAAACCAAAAGGATCAATATGACAATCCCATTAAAACCAAATGCATATATTCATTCTTAATTATCAAGCAGAAAGTTAGTTTATGTTTGTATTAAATGCGATATTCAGGCCTTAACTTTACTTTTTATTGTTATACTTATTTGGCGCTTATACGTTGATGAAAACAAATACTAAGATAGCAATGCTAATGGCGACACACTTTTTTTGCGGATGTTTAAAGCCAGTTAACGTTTTTGGTATGTAATTATTGGGTTGGCCAAAACGTTCATTCGCTTATTTAGTAGAGCATTTACATAATAAACCGAACGAACATTTTGGCTCGCCTAATCATTCTATATTCATCATTGATACATTGTTGATCCCTTTGCCAGTCGACCTCGCTATTCAGATGTCCTATCGCCGTCTGGTTACTCTGCAGATGCGTAGGGCACCAAATGTCTGTTCATATCTATCTATCTATCTATCTATCTATCTATCTATCTATCTTTTATCTATCTTTCTATCTATCGGTTCAGTAAAGTTTATTTGTTAAATAGTCTATCTCAATCAGTTCTCTATCTATCTATCTATCTATCTATCTATCTATCTATCTATCGGTTCGTCTTTATATATTAAATAGTCCTCAACAGCTCCAGAATCTCATAGACGTGTTTCCAACCCGTTCAGAAATGTCGAAACCACCATCTGCATACAATTGTTTTATCAGATCAATTATTAAAAATGATTCCATGCGAATTAATCGTTTAGGTCTTAAAGAAAACAATTCTTCAACATGCCTGTATATGACTGTATAAATAACATGACTGTATAAATAACAAAAATTACATCACCTGAAGATTTCCAACAGCGACAAGTACTAAATTGGCTAGCAGATGTAACTAAAACGGAAAATAATGATATAATCAAGGTGTTAGCTTTAAGTATTACCTAAAAAAAGGTTTGGAAGGAAAATCCCATTAGTATTAGAAAGAGGGAGAACAGTGAACTTGAGACGTCTAATTTACTGACAAACTGTACTTAAGAAAAAGATTTTTTTACATTTCAATTAACAGTAACACAAACAGTACATTCAATGAATGGTGAATATTTCTTGTGTGGAAATGGTTAATTAACCATTACCAACTATTTGCATGTCTTTCTTTCTCTCTCTCTCTCTCTCTCTCTCTATCTCTCTCTATCTATCTATCTATCTATCTATATCTATCTCTCTATATATATATATATATATATATATATATATATATATATATATATATATATATATATATATATATATATATGCCATATCTGTTATTGTCTTTATAATATACTAGCAGGCTTCGCAAAGTAAGATATATTCAGTACTTGAAACCTTTGAAATAGAAATTTTAAATTAACATTTCATTCATAAAGTGGCTTGTTATAGTTAAGGAAAGTTTTATAAATAAATGCCAAGTTGTTGAAAGCAAGTGAAATGCAAATTTCAAAGACTTTTCTGCACTATATAAGACGATATTCCTAAACGGAACTATTTTTGATTTGAAAATCAAAACAATCCTCGATTAAAAGAACAGTAATGAAGGACAGTTAATTAATTAAATAAACTTTTTAAAATCAATATGCAAATTAGTTAAACCTGTGTAGACAATATACAAGACAGATATTGAGCCTTTAGCGTGTAAAATAATTTAAAGTAGAGTTGTTTTTTTAATCTCAGAGTTCACAATTTATTCATATAAATTACATCATATAGGCTTTACTTAATTCCTATTATGCTTTTTCTAACTTGTTCAATGTATAATTAATTTTAATTTCTATTTTCTCATCTTTACACTTTATTAATTTTATCTTATAAATTGGCCCTTGTTCTGTCAGCCATGGAATAAAAATAATTGTTTGCGTGGAAATTAAGGATCTACAAACATCAAATCGTCATGAATTTAAGGGGCAGCAGAAGAATTATTGTTGAACTTTTAAAAAGATAAGCGTAAACGTTAATTCAATGCTTAATTGCAGCGATCAATTTTGAGTTCTTCTGTAGTTTATTGATACCTATTGTATCTACTCCTCCCGAGGTATCGGGCAGCTTTTAAGATACCGAGCTTAAAATTTTAGCCAGTACGATTTTACGGTACCTGCAATTTTGGATACAAAAGGAAAAATACAAGTTACCCCCCTTGAACCATGGAAGCAACGATAATGGCTAGCATAATATATATTTTAATCTCCCATAATCTGACAATCCTGAACCTGAGCTCATAGAAAATCGTTCTCTGCGCCGAACTTTCGCTATGAATAATTGAAATCGGACCAGTGAGAGCGGAGGAGTTAAATATATATATATATATATATATATATATATATATATATATATATATATATAGGAATTTTGAGGAACGGTTCGAAATAGTCTATTCCAATGTTGTGGTAATTTTTGATTTTTTTACTGTAATATATATATATATATATATATATATATATATATATAATCGACTCTCCGTCAGGATTCGACGTATGAGGGTCAAGCAGATCAATTTCAGGAAACCGACAGCCCGACACCGGCACATGAGATTTGATTATAGTGGTGAAGGCCTCGTGCAGGACCATCCACACTTATATATATATATATATATATATATATATATATATATATTTATATATATATATATATATATATATTTTATCTCTCAATAAATATATATATATCCCTCTCTATCTAACTATATCTATCTTGTTTATTACTTCGCATCTCCCACACTTCCCTGTCTACTCTCTCTCTCTCTCTCTCTCTCTCTTTCTCTCTCTTTTGTTTTCATTCCAATGCCTTTTGTCCTTTCATGTCTAATATTTCAAATTTCCACTCTGCATTCTTCCGTGTTCTGTCTTCTTTCTTCTTCAACATGCTAAGATCTTTAAAAAGAGAATTATTTTGTAGTCATTGTTATTGTTAAAGGAATCGCTTTTTATTCGGAACTGTACTGAGTTTTATTGTTGCTGCTGAGTCGTGTGTCATTGATCCTCTTCATCATTCACTCCGACCACATTAAACCAAGCAATAGTTGATTGAACGAATGCTATACTTTCTATGTGTGTTTGCCACTGGTCCATTTAAACTGATACCCGATCTCGGCAACCCTCCGAATTGGCCAACAAATGCAACACATCAAGCAAAAGAAAAAAAAAGATATGAAATTACACTATTAATGTCAATATAGAGAAAGTTATGATGCAATCGGCAATCGAAGGCTGTTTCTACGTCGTGACTCTAATCTTTCATCTAGAGAGCCAGCCTGCTTCTTAAAAAATCCAATACAAAAAAAAGCTTCCACCTAAATTCACAGGCAACCTTTAAATACACAATGATCACAATCTGGAATTTTTTCTTGAAAATAAATTATACAAAATGTGACAAAAACGTTTTAGCATTTACGATATTTTCCAACAGTCTTGTGTCTTTAGCTATGAAGCTGTCGTCTTTTGTCTTCAAAGGACTTAGGGCTACAGACCAATTTAATGATACGGAAGAAAAAAAAAACGCCCATTGAAATCAGAAAGAGTAGGATTTCGAGCACCAACTTAAATATGTTGTCATTATAAATATTACTACAACCGTTTTAGCGAAAAAGTTGAAACATCGGTTCTCGTACGAGCACGAAGTAAAGCAACGTCGAGCCTGGTCAGTACCTAGATGGGTAACCGCTTGGGAATACCAGGTACCTTAAGTTTGGCTGTGTGGATGGTGTGATGGATAACGGCTCGGAATTGGATATCTGATAGCTGATTCCAGTCGGGTTTGTTATAGGCACAAATACTCTTAAATCGACCTCTTATCCCCTCCAGCTATGGGTTAATTAGTAGGACTTGTATCAGTAAATTATTGTTATCTCCAAAAGATTCATAAACTCTAAAAACATTTTCTGGCTTTAAATAACCTGAAAGAGGTTGATAATCCGTAAAAACCAAATCAATCAATCACCCCCAGAAAACGAAAACACCTGCTAGTTTCAAACTAAAGCTAAAATCACTCATTCGTCTAGGAAATACGTAGATTAATAGAGAATCTTTCTGTTTATTCTCAATTTTTGATCAGTGCTATATAGTGATGACCATAGAATGACGGTCTTAATAGTTGCGATGAAAACCAACTAAATTTACTATTATATAAATTCTAGTTGGAAATTAAAAGAAAACTGCAGGTACTTCGAGACAATTTAGAAAAGGAAAGCCAGAACGAAGGACTAACCATCAATTGTGAAAAGACAGAATGTACAGCATAAGCAAGACTGACAACACAAAATGTGATCTACAAATTGAATGATTGGCTGCTCGTATGCCTGTCTACTCGAGCGGACATATTTGTGTTTATTCGACACCCACAGAGTCCACATGGGGTTTATACTGCAACTATACTAAGCGGATTTTAGTTACGGTTTCTGGGAGAGAGCGTTGTGTCTGTAGTGATCAAGAGTCTGAACAAGGCCAGTGCGCTCAAAACCTCAGCCACGCCGACTTTTGACTTCGTGCTAACACAACCAGCGAGAGTTCACAAATAGTTCCGTCTCCACAATTTCACACGCAACGCTTGGGTCAACCCGTGATATGGTTTTCGGGTTCTTTTCAAAAGTGTCGCGCGCTAGGATCGCCTCCCCCAGGCCGAGTAACGTCAAGAAGTCACTTTCCTTGCAAATCGACTATGGCGACATTCGAACCCAGGCTTCTTGGTGGGGAAAAAGAGCATTCGAACCACTTTAGAAACGTTAAAGTCAAAGATTGACTGGAGATTGTTGTAACAAACAAATGGAAAATATGACAGGAAATTTTCATTGGAAACAAAGATAATAGTGCTCAGCTTTCATCTTTAGCCCTGGGTTCTTTGAAGACAAAAGACGACATCTTCATAGCTAAAGACACAAGACTGCAGGAAAATATCGTAAATACTAAAAAAATTATGTCACATTTTGTATAATTTATTTTCAAGAAAAAATTCCAGATTGTGATCATTGTGTATTTAAAGGTTTCCTGTGAATTTAGGTGGAAGCTTTTTTTGTATTGGATTTTTTAAGAAGCAGGCTGGCTCTCTAGATGAAAGATTAGTCATGACGTAGAAACAGCCTTCGAGTGCATCATAACTTTCTCTATATTGGCATCATATCTTTCAAACTTCCTATATAGCAATGAATGCTAGACAATTTCCTGCCAGAAGAGGAGACTTGAAGCAACAGAAGGATGTTGAGAATGTCATGGACGAGGCATATGGATAACGAGGAAGTATTAAGGAAAATGTTAACAAGTTTTACTTAGTTATAGCTGAGTTTTCTTGTACAAAATGAAGAAATCTTTGAGAACCTGACACTCACAGGGCAAATGAAAAGCAAGCGGAGGGCATGGGAATCAGCGAATAATCTACCTGACAACCTCCTGTAAATGAACATCAAAAAATGGAGTGGAAGCAAAGGGACAAATATTGCTGAGAGTTACATAGGATAGGAGGTCTTGCAGCACCATGATCGCCAACGTTCTGAAAGAACGCAATACAAAAAATGTGAAAGAATTTTTTTATAGTAATTTTCACTCTGTACAAGGCCGGGGAGCCACTCGATGTAGAGGGTTACAGACTAAGAGGCACAGTTTAGTCGGATATGTGGGGAACATAACTGTTAATCCTAGACTTCAACAGGTTAATAGTGTGGTGATCAGAAAAACACCTTCTTGGAAGTCTGGAAGAATCTGCTCGAGTAGAACTTACATCTCACAAATTGAATACGTATGCAGGCGGTTCGCTATAATGTGTGTGAGTCTTATCCGTGAAGGTCAGAACTCGTGGATCTAAGGAATGTAGTTCGTCTGGGCACTTTTCATGGAAATAGCGAGAGAAGCAATGAAAGGGTTGCGACGTTTCATCTGTAAGAAAGGGGTGTAGGATGAAAAAATAATTTTTCACTCACAAGAACTCTATCGTGACTGGAAAGTGAAGACTGGACTACTCCTGCCCATATATGGCAACAGTACTCCATTTTACGCCTGATCTGGCTCTTATAAAGGTAGAGGATAGCACGGGGAGGGAGAATTGATTATAGAATGAGGTTCCAAATAGTTACTATAAAAATAGACTAATAATAAAATGCGGTATATGATAGTCGAAAATTATTAATAGTTAATATAAACATAAAAATAACTATAAAAAACTATTGAGTTGAATCGAATTTTAACATTTATTTCTTTCGGTGCAAATTATTCTAAAATTAATTTTATAAAATAAGAGCTAAAAAAGCAATCATTCCAATTAAGAACAACATCTTCTCTAATTATACAGCTTACCTTAATTTATTTTTAAAGAATTGATTTAAAATATTGATACTTTCGAAATGGATAGCAAATGCTGTTATTTTGATCGCCATCGTATGTTCTGCTTCTTTTAATTGTGTTCTTTACCTCTGTTTTTAATTAAGAAGAAATTTTAAAAAGGCAATTGGGTGGTTCTATTAATTAATTCGTTAATTTCTTCACAATCAAAAGATTTCATGGAAACTTCACAGGGCTAAAAAAAAGTAAAAGCTTTATAGGAAAAAACATACCAAGTCTTCAGTGCTGCTCATGTAACGGATATATAACACTGGAGAATAAGAAAAAGGAAGGAACCAATGCATATGTTCTACTAAAATCGTTTACTCAATAAGACAATTAGTAGCATATGAGTCGGAGGCAACCCAAATCTAGCAAGTGGCTGAATGTTTATACATTGATACGGTTCATCTGCTTCCATCAAAGTCATGGTTTCAGTCACTGAATCCAATAGTGTATTTAAGAAACAGAGTTGCATTATGGATAAAATATGGCTGCCAATTTAGAAATTCTTTACCAAAGACACCAAACATCACAAGGAATGAGATGACCTCTCCCATGGATTAATATGACGGGAACCTAATTAAGGTTGTGACCTTGTGATGGTACAGCGTTCAAAATTTTGGGATGAAGACGAGCAAGATAAAAATATGAACAAAACTTCGTCTAAAAAATTTTATCAGTCTCTTACGCCATTTTTACCTGCGGTTTAAGAATTTTAGCCATTGGGAGTTTTTGTAGGCCGATACATCCCCGCGAATGGACACGCTGATCTATTATAGAGATAACATCTCCAGATAGATTGCCAACCAAGTTCTATCCCGTTCCAAGTATGACAATAAACTACATGCAACAGCAAAGCCTCTGATCGAGTTTCGAGGAACCTGAAGCCACTTCTTAATTGCCGTTGTTCACAGGCCCAACCTGATGCAGAGTGGTAGTACCTGTTAGGGTCCCAACTTTGGGCAAATAGTTAACCCTTGAACTGAGGTCACTATGAAAATATAAAAATACATTTTTATAGTAATCATACCAGCAATACATTTTCAAAAAAATATATTACCAGCTATACATTTGACTCGACAAAAGGTCTCTAGTAAAATACGTCAATGAAACCTGATCTACAATCTGATTTCTTACAAGTATACATATTCTATTCATATGAACCTATCTTTAAAATCTTGTCGGCAGTAAATAACCCATTGAGTTTGATATGCCGTAAAACTAAAGCTAAACTAAGTTATATCTGTTCATCTGAGCAGAGGTGGCTACCAAACACTTTCGCTCACAATGGTTTTCAGCTACTTCCTAGTGAATCGTCTCCCCAAGCCGATATTAGCAAAAAGTTATTTCCTTCAAAAATCGACCATGAAACGAACCCGTGGCTCATGATCGGAATCCTAACGCTCTAACTACTTATTCCGCTGGTAGTATTGTTTAAAATGTGTAACTATGTTTGGTGATATCTATTTTGATATAAACCAAACGTTACCACCAGTGATCGCATCGAACTGAATATTGAAAAAACGCTAAGACCTTTTCAAAAATCGTATTGTGATTTATATTTTCTGAAGTTTTACTTGCAACAAACTTTCGCAAATAAGCAGACATTTAAAAAGTTATTTTCGATTTTGTTGACATGAGAAAAAATTAAATAAAATTTGGTTTTTAAATAAAAACTAAATAAATAAAAATATTAAATATATAAAAAATATAACCATTTTATTCATTGCATAAATGTATACGGCATATACTGTTACACTCTCTCTCTCCCTCTCTCTCTCACGATATTGAGTTCCCCCCCCCCACTGGGGCAACATGTGACACAAGGTCGGTTGTTTATTGTGGGTATTCCTGAGCCCGTTTGAACCCGTATAAACGGGTTCAGGGCCGGTTCTACCTCCCCGAAGGAGACTCCGCCCTTCGGCGTAGCCTCCTTCGGGCTCCTCTCCGTCCGTAGACAGAGAGTTGAACCGATCCGTCAGTCGAGAAAGCCCTCTCTCTCTCTCACACACACACTCTCTCTCTCTCACACACACACCGTCTCTCTCTCTGTCTGTCTCTCTCTCTCTTTCTCTATTACATTTGTATATACAGAGAGATTAAACTTGTTAATGCACTCTGGTAGAAAATAAAAATGCTGGAAAATCTCACAGATGAAGAGACTTGAGGCAACAGCAATGTGGTTCTACAGAAGGATACTAAGAATACCACTGACGGATTTATAGGCAAAGATGTTGTTTTATAGAAAATAGAGACACTTAACACTCGAGAGAAACATTTGAAATTTCTAGGGCACATAAGGAAAGAGGGCTTGGAAAATTTGGTACTCACAGGTCAGATTGAAGGCAAGAGGGACGTAGGAAAACAACGCA